CCATGTCAACATTTTATCGCACCCCTCCTTTTCTATCTATTTCTTTTCTCTTTCTTTCTTTCTTTCTTTCTTTGTGAATTCAAATTGGGCTCTCGTCTTTGACAGAATTTAAAACAAAAAAAATAAAGAAAACTATACAATAATAATAATAATAATAATAATAATAATAATTAATAATCGTAAATAATTGAAAAAGGGACACAACACGAAAAAAAAAAAAATAAGATAAGAAAAATAATTATTATAATATATGCGAGTAAAAAATAATTACATTTTATCATGTATCACGTGATCTCTCAGTCTCTCTCTTTCTTTATCATCTTTTTTTTTGTCTGAGGGGGTAATCGCATTCGCATAATTTTTTTAACCATTTATCTTAACCCCTTTTTATCAATTCCTCCAATAATTGGTTTTTTATACCGATTGGAACAATATTTTCGATTTGTTTATTCTGTCTTTCTTTTTTTTTTTCTTTTTTGTATTCTTCTTCTTTATTTTCCACGCGATTGTTAATTTTTTTTCTCTCTTATTTCTTCCTTGTTTAACACATACAATTCATTAAATTTTAATTAATTACAATTGAAATATCATATACCGTTGGTTAGGTGTATAAATTAACATGGGACACCCGGTATATAAATCTATTATCACGTAATATATTTACGCACACTCGCATACAAATAAACGCAATCTCTCACAAAGAGACACACTTACATAGATATATCGTACGCGATAAATTAAACAAGTCAAGTGCGTGCGTGGTTATTATTTTTTTTTTTCTCTTTGGTTCGTGACGTTCCATAATTATTATAATTCTTTATTTTTCTTTTATAATTTATTTTTTTGTTTTGTTAATTTATTTCTCTCGGTTGTATATTTCCTCACATAAAAAATACTTCGAAATAAAAACCGTCACGCATAATCTTTTTCATTGTATCGAGCTATCACATTCACTTTCGTATTCATGCCCAATACACGTTACTTAAAAAAGAAAAAAAAAAAAAAAACAAAAATAAACAAAAAACATCGATTGTGAGAGACACAGCCTAATTTATTTTATTAAGAACAAACAATAAAACGAATCCAAACATATTTCTAATTCATAATTCTTAATCAGAAAAGAAAATCTCACGTTTTTATTTTTTTTTTATTACTTTTTCATTCTTTTCTTTTTTTCAATTAATTAATACATGAGCTGCTTATTTTGATAGTGACCCAAGACAATTTTTTATTTTTTCAGCGAAATGTTTTTTACGACAGTTAATTTCCAACTGCAGATGCGTTATTACGATCAACAAGAAAAAATATAGTAAAATATAATTAGGCCATTTTCAAAATAAACGACTCGTATATACATAAATACATAAGCAGGAGAGAAAAGAAACATCAATTTCAAATCGAAAAGAAAGAAAGAGATATATATATGTATATATATTAGAGTACACATACAAATATCATATATGTTTCTCGATAATTATGAAAATGGTGAACTAAATGAGAACAAAATATAATAAAATCTATATTTCATAATTTATTTTATATTAAAAATATTTCTATTACAAAATAAATCATAAGATTAAATTTTTTTCAATTTTTGTATAGTCCACCACTGTCATAATTACCAGCGGACATATATATAAAACAACACATCACATCAAATGATCTTTTTCTTTTTCAAACGAATAATGTAAATCGTATCCCCATGCTAATATGCATGCTTACATGTGATGATAGTAATAACAAAAAAAATATTAACGCAAGTTACATGTATATACATAAATGTAAGTACATATATTATATTAATATATGTATGCATATATTATATGAAGAATCCGATAATGCAAATTCATTATATATATATACATATACACACATGAATGTATATATATGTTCTATATATATTTGAAACTTCTTTCCTTTAAGCATTTAACATATACCAGAAAAACCAGTTTCAGAAACTTTTTTTACGCGAGGCCTTTACTTTCGCTTAGAGAACGAAAGGAAGAGTGAGTGAGTGAGTGAGTTAAAGAACGAAAGAACGAATGAACGAAGGAGTCAGCAACATTGCTAGGCCAGTTGCTAACTAACGGGGTCACCAGTAGATACTTACATGTATATATACACACATACGTACGTATCTCTCTAGAAACAGAAACGTAACACATAAGTGAACATACGCTTTCAGAAGAAAGAGAGAGAAACAGAGTGAGTGAGTGAGTGAATGAATAAAATGAGAAAGAGAGGTGTCTGTGAGTGAGCAAGAGAGAGAATGTTTATGTATGTATGTATATGAGTGTGTAAAGATCCGGATATGTATATATATATATATATGTATATATCTCAGGGTGTCTCCGTGCATGTATAATTCGCTTATACACACATGGACACACGTATGTGCATCTCGTATGATTTTTTTTTGTACTTTATATATTGTTTTAATAGATTTAAATTTTATAAGTATATACATATCATGATGGTTTATATGTGTGTGTGTGTGCGCGCGTATTTGCTCGATTTAATTATCATGAATCCGGTATGTTATTTAATATACCGGATAATGGGGTTAAATAATTGCGATCTGGTATGTGTGTAAGTTACGCAACTTATAATCTTCTTTCCTTGTTTATAAAAAAAAAGAGAAAGAGAGAGAGAGAGAGAGAGAGAGAGAGAGAAAGAAAGAATTTCTTTAGTTTTGTTTTTTATTTTAATCGTTAAAAATTCGATATATTTTTAAAAGAAATGTATAAACGAATAAAGAAATTGTTATTCTTTCCTTATTTGTATGAAAAAAGTGAGAAAGAATTTTTTATTTATTTGCGTTTATATATATATATATTAATTTTTGTAATTTAAAATCAAATAATCGAAATTTATTTTCATTGTTAAAAATTCGATATCTTTTAAAAAAGGAATGTAGAAAAATAAAGAATTATCTTTTCTCTTTTTCTTATATTTTCTCTCTCTCTCCCTCTCTCACACACGATTTATCTTTATCTTTCTCTTGTTTTTTTTTTTTCATCGTTATCACACTGATAATTCACGACAATCTCTCTCTTATTCTCATAAACACAGAGGACTTTAATACATCACCCATTTTTTTATCCTTATCGTGTTTGATTTAAAGTAATAGTAATTTATTCTTAATGAAATAAATGTCTTATATACAGTCACACATATTAATATTCATACACATAGCATATGTACCGGTAATAATGACAATGAACTAATTGTAAGCCCCAAAATTTGTTCCATTTATTTTGATTTATTTTTTAATCAAAATAATTATAAATATGAAATAAATCATAAAGTTAATTCATTCAATTTTTTAACTTAGCCCACTGTCACGATTACTTTAACATATACGCAAATTAGCAATATGTGGGTTTGTTACGTGAATGTTGTAACATACACGTAGTAAACGTATAATATTAATATCAAACAATTTATTACATTTTAATTGATTTTCGATGCTACGATCTTTCAAACTTTCGTCATCTTATCTATACAATCTAGAAACTTAAAAAAAAAGAAAAAAAAAAAAAAAAAAAAAAAAAAAATTATAATAATACAAATAGGAGAGAAAAAGTGTTGAAAAGAAAGAAAGAAAGGGAGAGAGATAGAAGACAGTGTTGATTTTTAA